CGGGAAGCCAAATCCAGCGGGGGATTCCGAGCCGAAGCCAGAGCCAGTCCAGCGAGGAGGACGAGCATCCGAACACTCCATTGGCCGAACATCTGTCACGTTTGGAAGAAAATGGAAGAATGGTTTAAGAAAATGGGAAAAAGAAGAAGGATTAAAGAAAACGAGAAGAAGGAGAGTTAAAGACAATGGAAAAAAGAAGAAAGGGCTGAAAAAACGAGAGGGCTAAGAAAATGGGTAGAAAAGGGAGACAAAGAAAATGGGTAGAAAAGGGAGGCTTAAAGAAAATGGGTAGAGAAGGGAGACAAAGAAACTGGTATGGGAGATGACAGCAATGATGATAATAGTGAAAATACTAATGAAAGCAATATTCAGGACGCAAGTAATAATAATTGCAACAATAATAATCATAATTATAATGATAATAAAAGAAATGATATTCATGAAAATGATGATGATGACAATAACAATGATAATAAGGATAATGGTAATAATAGTAATAATAATAACAGCAATAACGATAATGACAACAACAAAGATAAGGATATAATTTCAATAATGACAGAATAGAAATTGTGATGATAATATTGTCAAGAACGATGACAATGATAGTCATAATGATCAAAAAATAAATAATAATGGTAATAAACATGATAATGATGATGATAGTAATGATAAAAAGTATGATAATGATAATAATGATGATAACAACAACAACACTAATGATAATAATAACAATAGTAATGATAATAATAATAATTATAATGATAATCATAGCAATGATAACAAGAGTAATGATGATAATAATGGATAATGATCATAAAGGTTGAGGATAATTAGATGATAACAATAATGAAAAGAATAAGGCAAAAGCAAAAATATATATATATATGTCGATAATGAGGTAATTGTTCCTAAATACTGTCACCTCAGTAGATTGCAAAAAAAAAAAAAAAAAAAAAAAAAAAATAAATAATGATAATAATAAGTTCAAAATATTATAGAATAAATAAATAAATGAAAAAAAAAAAACACAGAAAGTCTACCCATTCTTTTCTTATAGTTTTTCTTACGTCTATACTCTTGCTTTGACCCAAGCATGATCCTGTTCTCGGAGCATTTTATCTCCCTAAATCAGCTTAATATACATTTTTTCCTATCTCTCTTTTGGAAAATACGTGTAATGAGTTATGTGACAAGATAAGAGAATCGAGATAAGAGACGAGATGCACAATCGACTGACTCTCGAGATTCAAATCAAAAAGAGATTTCGATCCAATCAAGGCCGTCGATCCTCCTTCAGAAACAAAATAGCAGCGGAGATAAAAGGTTGCGCTATCGGATCTGAATTGCTTATTCGCACTCTGACAGAAGGATTTTACTTACCCCACATTTTTTTGTTTGTTTGACATAAGTGTCTCTCTTTTAAAATGATGGTGATTATCATTGTCATTATTATCGATATTCGTTTTGTTACCATCATTATTAGTACTATAATTATTGATTTTGTTGTTGGTATTACTGTCATTATCATAATGATTATTATGATTTTTATTACGATTGTTATATTCATCCTTACCATTATCATTACTATTATCGCTATTATCATCATCGTTGTTGTCATCATTATTATCATTATTATCATTAATTAATATCATTATCATCATTATCATTTCCTGTATCATAATCATCACCATCATTACCATCATTCTCACTGTGAAAATAATAACATCAGACACTTTATTATCAATTTGATTTTTTTTTCTCTATAACACCTTCTTTAAACTGATTTCTTCTAATAAATAAATTGTTAACTCATCTTTGCCATTTTAAATTATCATTATTTTCTACAGTTGTTTTAGTCGTAGAATTATCACCATCATTAATGAGAACCAGAAAATATGACGTAATAAAAAATGATAATGAAAGAAATTGAATAATGCAGAATAAAGATAGTGATTGAAATAATGGTAATAATAACGGTAATGACGATAAGACGAGTCACAAGGTACTTTAAGCCTTATGTGTACCTTAGATAAGATTTATAATTACATAACATACACAGATTTACGTACTTGAGTCTTAATATACTTTTGATGATTATAATAACGGGAATATCATCATATAATAGTGATAAAAATAACAATTGGAAGAAAATAAATCATAGACTAAATGGAAGAAATTATTAGATATTAGATAGCCAAAAAATGATGATGTTGATGATGGTGATGATCTAGTGATGATGATGATAATGGTGATGATAATGATATGATGATTATGATGATGGTGATGATAATGATATGATGATATGATGATGATGATGATGGTGATGATAATGATGATGATGATGATGGTGATGATAATGATGGTGATGATGATGATGATGATGATGATGGTGGTGATGGTGATGACTTTTATGTTGACGCCAATAAATGATGATGATTGTCATGATGAAAATGATGATGAAGATGACTATATCAATAAATATTAGTAGGTCTGTTAT